AAAAAAAAAAAAAAAAAAAACCAAAACACCCGGAAATTCTCATGTAAAAACCAGGCTTTTGGAACAGCGCCTTTGAAGCAGGGTAGAGCGAATGCCGTCTCTAACTGGATGTCTATGTGAAAGAACTGTGTTTGAGGTGGGGAGATGCCGGTGTTAAAGACGTACTGATTCGTAAATTTAGAAAGTTGTTTATCCCTAACTCAGTAGTTTTTTTTTTTGTTTGTTTTTGTTTTTGTTTTTGAAGCTTCTATTAATCGACAAGTGAAACGGGAACAAAACTGTTAGCTCCGGTAGAATGTTTGAAGTTGTTCACTCACTCCACGGTTAGTGGACCTGTAATAAGTGGTGACAAAAAAAGTTAATGGGTCTCTGCAGAAGGAAAATGTGAAGAAGAAAAGCATGGAAGTTAAGATGTTAAAATTCATGCAAGAGGATTTACGAAGAAAATCAAACTGCCTAGGTTGAATCCTAGCTTCGTGAGGCTAAGTACCTCGGTTTTCATTCTGTAAATAAGGCCGCCTAGAGGTAGTTTAAGGATTAAAAGAGTGAATATATGTAAAATAGGAAAAGTAGAAAAGCGCTATTTTAATGTTCTTCTTGTTATAAGAATACAGCGTTACTTCCGTACGAATTGTGGCTGAAGAAGTAGGTTTCCTTTCATTACAAGTAGATTCAAAACCTGATTGTAATAAAGACTTTTAAAAAGCATGCGTAACATTCTAAAATGCGGTGAGCTGAAACAATATAATATTGAAGAACTGCCAAGAAAGAACTATTGTGTTTCAAACCATCAAAAGAGCCAGATTTTGTGTTTGTATGTTGCTCGTTGGGTTATTTTTGGTGGATGTTGCCAGGAGAGGCAGAGAGAGTGCTCTGTGTGGATCTGCAAAAGTAAGATTACTTTTTAATGACTTTATGCCTTTTGCCTTGTTTTAGTACCTCGATATTGGTGACATCTGACTTACCCTAACTTAACACAATTTGTTTCAGGATTGCATTTGTTCTTAACATCAGAAATAAGAGTAAGAACTTTCCATTTTTATTTATGGTGTACTTTTAACTTTTTCATCCTGTTTCTAACCCTTTGACTGTCTCTCTTTGGCATTTCATAAGACATTGCAGATTGAATTACGTTTTGATTACATTCATAAGTCACTTGGAGTTCATTGACTCATTGATTTATGCATTGTTTTCATCTTCAAATGCATTTATTTCTTCAAACCACTTACTTTGGTTATTGGTTGCATATTAGATTCTATTCTCTTTTGTAAGTAACAGTCTGCATTCAAAATAGAATTTTGTAAGTAATTTGATTACTGTCAGTTCTTGATTGGAAGCTTTGTTTTCTTATATTTTTGATAATATTTTTGATGATACTAAATTGTTTTCTTCATAAATTTAAAATGACTATGATTTCTGTTTTGTTTTCTATAGATACTTGAATTTTCTTGAGTTACTGCTTTCCTTTTATAATTTTTTTGTAGTAATGTGATACAGAAAGGTTATTGTTTAGACAACCAGGTTCAGGGATTGAGCCTGCAACCGAGGTACATGCCCTTGGTTATAATTGAACCCGGGACCCTTGCAGCCCAAGGGCTGATGCTTTAATTACTGAGCCAAACCGGCTAGGACTGATTTAGGCTTTATTAACAAAGAGCAAAGCAGGAGTCAGAATAGTAGAGTGGAAAGAAGGTAAACTGGAGATAATAGAGACCTAGGTTTATATCCTAGCTCACCACTTACTATCAGTATATTTCAAACATTTGGTAGCATTCAATGAGTGCCTACTCTGTGATAGACTGTGCTAAACGGAGAGACCAATTAAAGAATAGGGTACAGGCCATGACTGAAAAACCTTACAGTCTAGAGGGGAATGATGTGTTAACATTTTTTTAATAGTGTTGTGCACAGGATGTTATTAGGGCATAGAGAACGAGAATTGTAGGAAAGGTTTCTAGAGCAGTTGAGTTGGGGAATGTAAGTATCAGCTGTTCAATTAGAAATGAATGCAGGTGCCCTGGCCCGTGTTGCTCAGTGGTTAGAGTGTCGACTGCACACTGAAGGGTCTTGGGTTTGATTCCTGGTCAAGGGCATGTACTTGGGTTGCGGGTTCGATCGAGGTGCCTCACATCAATGTTTCTCTTTCCCCCTCCCTTCATTCCACTCTCTAAAAAAATCAGTGGAAAAAAATATCCTTGGGTGAGGATTAACAAAAAAGAGGAATGCATGCTATGCGCAGGCAGAGGGAATTGGTAAAATAAAGTACCAGTATGGCTTATTAATAATTAGTATTGTTTGATTCTGTACTACAAGCAGGATAGATAGCATGTAAGGGTTTGGTTTGCCCTGCCAAAGACATTAGACTATCTCTTAGAGATTAGAGGATTTAAGAAAAGGACTGTCATGGTCACCTGTGCATTTTAGATAACTGATGGTAGTTTGGATTTGAGGGTGAGGGATCAGGCATCTAAAGATTCTACTTTAGTTGTCCTTTCACGATGCTTAGGGCCTGAACTACCTGATATAAAGTAAAGGTTGGATTCAAAGAAATATAGCAGAGACAGTAGGCAGACCTTGTTAGTGAATTGGCAGGAAGAAAAGAGAATCTATTGTGATGCCAGTTTTCTGGGTAGATACTAGTAAATTGAGATGAGGAACTTGTCAAGAAAGCCATCTGAGAGAGATTTGAATCTGAAACTCAGCTGAAAATAAAGGCTTGTGAGCCATCAGCTTAGAGGTATTATAATAAAAGCCCATGATAATACATCCCACAATAATAGGAATTAGGATGTCATGTGATTGTCAGTTGGCTTCTATCCGCCTTTAACCCTTTGTTCTTAAATGGGAAGTTAAAATGAGTGTCCTTAGCTGGGGGCTTGCTTTGGTTAAATAATGTTCCATTGCCAATTTAGTGTGCATTTGGTTTTATACAGTGTAGGTGTTATGTTTACTTTTGTGATGTGTGTGTGAGAAAGAGAGACAGACATAGCATGCAGGCTAGCTGAAATCTATTTTTCATTAATCTCTCATTTTATGCAGTTGAACTTTTTGGACCCTGATATATTGGGGTTATGCTAAAGTAAACAAGAAAATGGATGAGATTGCCCAAGAGAGCATGTAATTCTGAATACATTATTTAATATTATTAAACCTCTTCTTTCTCAACTGTAAAATAGGAATGACAATACCCACCTTGCTGGTCTGTTCATTAGGATTAGATTAATGATGAGTATTTGTTATAATATCTATTATGTATATAACGTATGGTATATATATTATTACATTATGTACTTATGTATATTATGTAAGTACACAATGTTAAATAGTAATATGGAAAAAGATCTCTTAGCAGTTGAAAAAATATATTTTGCAAAAATATCTACAAAATGTTTATTAGCCAGCAAAATTTTTATCATTCCATTTCTAATATGTGAGTGCTTCATACCAATATTGGATTAGTAAAAGGTGTCAATTATATAATATATATATGTTTAATATACCTTTTATTAAAGTTCTCATGTTTTCAAGACTGATTAATTTGCCTATTCTTGGACCCCAAGTACATATTAATGGTATATATTGGTTATCTTAGTCCCAGCCAGTTCCTTCATTTACTTCTCAAAGCAAGTCTATTGCCCCATTTAACAAATGAAGAGACAGATTCAAAGACATTAAGTAAATTTACCAGTCAGTCAACTAATAATTGGAAGAGTAGAGACTAGAAGCCCATAATCTTTCTATTGTATCCCTGTTTTCTCTTTTAAAGCCTTAAACTGTGTTATTTTTCTGATTGAGTTTCAGTTCAAACCCCAGCTGGTTTAAGCTAATTAGCATGTTCATGTTTCTTTTCAAGTGACTGAACCAGAGCATGGGATACACAGTCTGATTCTAGTTTGAGTTCTGACATTAGGTAGCAGAATGTGATCTTTAAGATAACAGAAACTTTATAGGGTTTTTAGTTAGTCTCTTAAATGGAAAGTCTCTTCTAGATCTGAAAAAAAAGTATATTGATTGAAGAAGTATGAATTTCACCCTGATTTATCACTTTTCTTGTTAGCATTTTGCATTTCAGTTTAATTTTTAGAACTCATTCCATTTGTTACTAGGAAATCATGGATTTTTTTTATTTTTTATTATAGTTTGTAGAATTCAACTCAGCTACATTGCCTACAGTGTTCCAGTTGCTGTATTAGGTGTAGAGGATATGGATATAAATAGGATAATCTACCTTTAAGGAATTTATGGTCTCTGGTAGATTGTGTGAATTTCTACTGATACAGTGACATAGAAGAAGCTATATTTTCCTTTTTTGGAGGGGAGAGAAGAGAAGAGATGAAAAAAGATCAGTGATTATATTTGAAAATAGATTTTCTTTTTTTAAAATTTTGTTCTGGAAAGCAGTTATAGTGGTACCTCGGTTTTCGAATGCAATCCGTTCCAGAAGACCGAGAGATCAACAGCCAACAGCTAGGCCTCAGGATCTTGCCCTCAGCGGAAGCTGTGTGGCATGTTCGACTTCTGAGGCATGTTCGAAAACCGAAGCATTTGCTTCCGGGTTTACTGAGTTCATAAACCGAAGTGTTCATCGACAGAGATGTTCAAAAACCAAGGCACCCTACTGTACTTTCCTGGAGAATCAGTTGGATCATATACATATATATTTTTAATATATCTATTGATTTCAGGGAGAGAGAGAGAAACATCAATGATGAGAGTCATTGATGCGCTGCCTCCTGCATGCCCCCTGCTGGGGATCGAGCCCGAAACTCGGGCATGTGCCCTGACCGAAATCGAACCTCAATCTCCTGGATCATAGGTTGATGCTCAACCGCTGAGCCATGCCCGGCCGGGCTGAAAATAGATTTTCTTAGCTCATCTGATTCTCGAACAAAGACTGTTCCAAATCTTTTTGATTCTCCTCAGATCTCTCTGTTTTTGCTCTTATTCTTAGCAGATGATATCATGCCCTTTTTCATAGACAAAATAAAAGCCCTTAGCTCAGAATTACCTCAACCTTTTGCCCTGGCTGGTTTGGCTCAGTAGTTAGAGCTCTAGCCCACAGACTGAAAGGTCACGGGTTCGATACCAGTCAAGGGCACGTACTTCCATTGCAGGCTTGGTCCCCGGCCCCTGAGTCCAAGTGTGGGAGGCAACTAATCGATGTCTCTCTCTCACATCGATTCAACAGATTCGATGTCTCTCTCTCTCTGTCCCTCCCCTTCCCACTCTCTCTAAAATCAGTGGAAAAAATATCCTTGTGTGAGGATTAACAACAACAAAAAAGAACTACCTCAACCTTCTGACACCAAAGCTATAAACTTACCTGCAAATGTACCTAGTAACGTCTCTTCCAGTTCCAACAAAAGGAGATGTTTCTCCAGCTCTCTCTAAGGTTCAGTCCCTCCACCCTGTCTTCTGGTTCCCATTTCCTACCTTCTTATCAAACCTTACACTTAATTACCCTGCTATCTTCTTTTACTACCAGTCTCTTCCTCTTGATGACTCACTTGAGCATTCATACATGCTCTGGTTATTTGAAGCTTTAAAAAAAAAAAAGAGGGAAGACCTTTCACCCTGTTTTTAGCCTCCGGCTGTTTGCCAGCCTTTCTCTTCCCTTTACAGTGAAAGTTCGTAAGAGAGTTGTCTGTACCCGCTCTTATACTTGCTCTCTTCATATCTTTTCTCCATATTCACGCTTCAGCAACTTCTTTCCCCACCAAAGTGCTCTTTTAAAGCCATCAATGACACGTGCCATTCATTCCAGTGTACATTTTTAAATCTGTGTTCTACTTGGCCTCTCAGAAACTTTTAATAGAATTGCCCAATTTTCTTGAAACTCTCTTCCTTTGGTTTCCATTGCCTCAAAATCTCTCTTGTTTTCTTTCTACTGCTTAAAGAAAGTGGGAAGCTACTGAAATGTTTTGAGCAGGGAAAGGCCATCTGTAGCATGCCAGTTTGAAGGGGAGAGGATATGACTGAAGAAAGGATCAGTTATAAAGCTACTGTAATAGTCTAGGCCAGAGATGATGTTTGCTTGGACTAGAGTGAAACAGTTATTTTGAAAAGAAACAAACAGATCAAGGGAGATACAGGAGATAATAGCAACAGGATTGTGTGATTGAATATAGATGGTAAGAAAGCAGGAATTACTTGTTCTGACTTAGACATCTGAGATAAACGGATGCCATTTACAAAAGGAGTGAAAAACACTGGAAAAGGCCATGTTGAGTTTTAGGTGCATTTGAGATTCTAAATGGAGATGTCATGAGGGAAGCTGGAGATATAAGCCTGACTCTCAAAAGAGCTAAGATGAATATTTGACTTGTTGTTACACAAATGGTAATTTAATTGAAGTCATGCATGTAAAATCGTCTAGGGAAAGCTTACAGAGTAGAAAGAGAAGAATTCCGTCTAAGCTTTGGTGAATTCCAACATTCGAAGGTTGATTCAAGTAGGGATGAATTGGCAAAGAAGACTGAGGGGTCACTACAGAGGTAGGAGAGTGTCATATCCAGAAAGCCTTGGGAAGAGAATGTTTTAAGAAAAGGCGCAGCGGGCAGTTTTGTACTCATTTAAATACATAATTTATCTCAGTTATAATTACCTATTTTCATGCCCACGTACCAGGAAGTTTAAGTTCTTTTAGGGATTGTGGTTTGAACTAGATGGGATGCAAGCAAACATTTTCTGTAAAGGGCCAGGTAGTAAATATTCTAGGCTTTGGCAGGCCATATGATCTCTGCCGTAACTACTCAACTCTGCTGTTGTAGCATGAAGGCAGTCATATACAGTATATGAAAAAAAATGAGCACAACTGCGTACTAATAAATCTGTATTTATGGATACTGAAATTTGAATCTCATAAAATTTTTATATCACAAAATATTCTTGTAATTAAAATTATTTAAAACATAAAAACCACTCTTAGCTTGTGGACTGCACAAAATCAGGGAGGAGGCCAGATTTCACCCACTGGCTGTACTTTACTGACCCTTTTCCCATACCTGAGCCTGATGTCTGAACCATAAAAGATGCTAAGTTCTGATCCAGCTTATATATGCTTTTTCAGGTGTGGGGAGGTGATGAGGTGGGTTTTCCTCTTCAAACCCAAAAAACAAGAATTCCCACTTTTCTTTATGTTCATGCTTCTCTTTAGAGATTAATTTTTCATTTACCAAAAGTAAATATAAATATTGAAGCAATATCAAGTAGCCAGAAAGCTGTTTTAAATATTTGTAAGGTGTAGTTATATTATTTTGGGTTGCAGAAAGGTAAAACTGTGTTCCAGTGCTTCCTAGGATGTATAGGATTTTGGATTTGATTTTTATTAATACCTAAGGTTTAAAAACACCTATATGCAGTATACACACCTTTATACTTTTGAGAATTCTGATTATTATTTTTTACCCTTACATTTTTTTCTTCACTGATCTTAGTCATATAAAGGCACACTGGTTTTATACAGCGTTGGCTCTGCACTTATATTGCTAGAATTGAGCACGAGAGACAGTCTACAGACAAGCGAACAAACAGATTAATAAAGACATGATGACAACTTGTGATATGTCCCATGAAGGAAATCAGCAGGTGTAATATTTTAGACTATGAAGGAGGGGGAAGGGTAGTTAAGGTGGTCAGATACTTGAGAAGTATCATTTATGCTGAGACTGGAGTTACATGGGTGGGAGAGGAGTACCTAGGTAGAGAAATAACATGTGCCTTGAGTCCCATGAGGTCTTGGTATTTTTTAGGAACGAAAGATAGTTTCAGGTATAAATAACTTGAGGTGTCTGCATTCAAGAAATCTACAAATAATTGATTATACAGAGATTGGTATGGGGTTTTAAAAAAAATCAGACAATCTGTGCTAAGAAATAGCTCATAAGTATCTAGATCAAAATTGGCTAGATTATAAAAATTACTAAAATAAATAATAAAATAAAAAATGATTGACTTTCAGTGTGTTCCACGTTTATTGAAAGCCATTCAGCTGAAATGACATTGCAGTTATATAACAATTGACAGGCAATCGGAACTATTATGAGTAATTGCCATACCAAGGACTGTTTAGCACCAAACTTCAGATGTGCTGAGAACAATTAATAAAGAAGAAAATGGTTCCTACTTGAGTGACTCAGTTTAGTCATGTGGCACACTAAGGTATCGCCATAAGAGATGCCTTAGCAAAAGAAGGGTGGCTAACTGTAGAGCTTGAGCCATTGTCAGTGGGAGGAACACAACAGATTGGGGCAGGGGGGCAGTAAAATGAGAATCCGGTCAGTAAAAGTAAAGCAGGAGGACAGGAGGAAAGAATCCAGGAAAAAGGAGGCAGAGGATGCAAATAGTTTGAGGAGCATATTCTAGTAGACATAATTTTATATAGGGTAAAACATTAGAAAACTACTTACAGTTTTAGGAATAAACGTTCCTCTCTCATACCTGTTGCCTAATCATATGAAATCTAAAAGCTGTGATCATATCTCTCACTATTTCTTCTACTTCTTCAAAATCTTTGTTTTGTAATATTTCACTTTGAAAAATCAAAGTGACAAATAACATACTTTTATTATATTTTATATATATATATTTTTAAATATTTGCAAATATTTGGTTTTAAATAAAATGTATGTACCATGTAGTATGTTGTATTTATTTACTCATGTTCTTTTAAGTGTTTCAGGCTGCATGTACCAAGTAGTTCAGACGGTTGGCTCGGATGGAAAAAATCTTCTGCAATTACTTCCAATTCCTAATTTCTCTGGAAATCTTATACCACTAGTTCAATCTTCAGTTATGTCTGATGCTTTGAAAGGGAATACAGGAAGCCCAGTTCAAGTTACTTTTCAGACTCAGATTTCCAGCTCTTCCACAAGTGCATCATCAGCTCAATTGCCCATTTTTCAGCCAGCCAGTTCTTCAAACTATTTATTTACAAGAACAGTAGATACAGCAGAAAAAGTTAGAGTTACTACTGTGGGATCTGAGACTTTTACCTCATCAGTTTCTAAAGTTCAGAGTCATGGTGTGAAAATTGATGGACTCGCCATGCAAACATTGGCTGTTTCTTCCTCCTCAACACAAAATGATTCATCTTATATTTTAGTAAATACTCAGAGCCTCCCAATGACTGTGAAACCTCCAGTTTTGCCTTCTGGGCATCATTTACAGATTCCAGCCCATGCTGAAGTGAAATCTGTACCAGCGACGTCATTGCCTCCTTCAGTTCAGCAAAAGATACTTGCAGCCACCACCACAAGCACCTCAGGAACAATTGAGGCCTCCCAGATACCATCTGTTATTTACGTATCTCCTGTAAAAACAGTGAAAAATGTAGTTACCAAGAACTTACAACACATTTACCCAAAACCTGCTACAGAAGTAGCAAAACCAGTGATGCTAAATGCCACACACCTTCCAGTGAAGGTTGCAAGAGAGACCCAGTTAAAAGGTGGTCAGCACTCTCAAGCTGCTCCAGTGAAATGGATTTTTCAAGACAATCTACAGCCTTGTACTCCATCTCTTGTTCCTGTTAAGTCTTCAAATAATGTGGCTTCACAGATTTTAAAAAGTTTTGTAGAAAAGAAAAGTTTGGGAGATAATACTATAAATATGCCACCATTGAGTACCATCAGTCCTAGTGGGGCACAATCTAAAAGTATGCCTATTAAAGATAATGCTTTGGTTATGTGTAATGGGAAAATCTATCTGTTGGCTAAAAAGGGGACAGATGTTTTGCCGTCACAAATTGATCAACAGAATTCTGTTTCTCCTGATACTCCACCAAGAAAAGATGTATCACAGATAGTGAGTTCAAGTCCAGTCACAGAAATATCCAGAGAGGTTGTCAATTTTGTTTTGGCTAAAAATAAATCTTCCCAGATGGAGACAAAATCACTTTCAAACACCCAGCTTGCTTCCATGGCCACGCTAAGGGCAGAGAAGAATAAAAAAGTGGAGACACCATCTCTTTCTATCCTAAACCCAAATAATCTGAACCCATCCATTAACTACTTAAAACAGAGTAAGACTTTATTCATAAAGGCAGACTTTCCACATGGACTTAGTACAGGACAAAATGCCCCCCAAAAAGAAAATATCATCCAGAGCATAGAGAAAATAAGTTCCTCTGTTGATGCAACAAGTATTACTTCACAACAGTGTGTTTTCAGAGACCAAGAACCAAAGGTAATTTTCCCATGCCAGGGTGGTGTTTTTATCTATATAGAAAATTTTTCTTTTTTAATTGTCAGAGTTATCTATAATACCTTTCTCCCCTCTTCTCCCATCCTCCACTCCATCACACACATACCATACACACATGAATGCTTACTTAAGTCAAAGCTTTTATCTGAAGGAAATGTTTGAGGAGTATAATTGAGAGTCCAAGCAATATCTTTGTCTTGAATCATTAGGCATTCCTAAATCTTTAAAACAAAATTGAAGTCACAGAGCAACAAGGTTTAGAAGAGTTGGGAGAGGAATAATGTGAATTAAAAGCTCAGTAAAATTGTGTGTGCATATATGCACACATTTGTACACGCATGCATACATATACATGGCTACATAGATATTTAATAGCCTACTTTTAGTATATGAAGAGATCAATATTATGCATATAGGAGAGCTGGAGGGTTTTGCTTGTTTTGTGGTGGAATATAGTTATCTGGCAATTTTTCAGGGTAGATGGTGGAAAGGGTAGGACAATCAGTACCTTTCAAGTCATTTGTGGAAATAGGATTATCAACCTCTATGATTGGATTTTTTTAGTAGACAAGTTTTCCCTTTTTTTTAAGCCCTTTCTGATTCCTCATCCAATTATCCAACATACCCACATAGGACCTTTCTGTTCTACTTAAGATAGTGTTTCTGTGCTAACTAAATATTTGTACCCACTTTTTCCTCACTTAGAGGTCTGTTTAAAAATGCCAGTGTTTCTCACCTTTCAGTTCAGAATTTATTGAACTCCAGAGATGTAAGGAGGTAAATTCTGATTAAATATAAGATTTGTTAAAGGCATAAGACTTTTTCAGAAGACTATAATGTCTAATTAATGTCACATAGGTTATTTCTAACTTGTCATTAGTCTGTATTCTCATTTCAGTTGTTTGAGAACTGAGTGCCTGTTATCTTTCTAGTGTGAGAAAGTGAAGTAAATGAGAAATTGCATGGGAACATTTTAAGTGTATTCAGTTCAGTTCAGTTTTCCGAGTGAGGGTGGTAAAGCAAGGGTAATGCAAACCAACCATTTAGGACTTTAAAGCATGCTTGAAGTAAGATGAGGTAATCACTTAGTTGCCAGTCTGATAAAATAGCTTAAGTAATGGGCAGTATTGTTTGTGTGTTTTCTTTTCCTAATTTCAGATCCAGAGTGAGATGGCATCAACATTAGGAAAAGTTACTCAAGAAAGAAATGACAAGAAAAATTCTCAAGGAGGAAGCAATAAGGCATATCTGAAGACTGATGCTGAATTTAAAAAGCTATTTGGTCTCACTAAAGATTTGAGAATATGCCTTACTCGGATTCCTGACCGTTTGCATGCTGGAGAAGGTTTTGATTCCTTTAGGAGTTTGGTGAAGAGTGACAGAGAGACAAAGTTTATAGTGAAGGAGGAAGAGAGAAAACAGGTAATAGATTTTCAAGTGTTCTTTGTAGGTACTCCAGAGAGAGATGAGTGTGTTAATTTTCTTGATTTGTTTTCTGAGTCTTATGTTTTAATAATAGTTACCAACTTTGCATATCTAATATCTATGTATTATACCAGAATGGTGTTAAAAAGAACCATATATACACAGGTAAAAATGCATCCCTGGTTAATTAATGGTAAGTGTATTTATTCACCCACTGTTTATTTTTTCATCATAAAATTATAAGGAAGTGGCCATAGCTTTTTATTTTTGGGTGGCCATCGCTTTTTAATTAGTTATACTACTGTGGAGACCCTATCTAAAATAAAGAATCCAAGTGTAGGGAAAATGTAAACATGCAGATGTTCATTGCAGGATTACTCTTAATACCAACATCTTAAGAAATCTACATGGTCAACAATGGTGAAAAGAAGCATCCCTGTAACTTTGTCTACTATTATTCTACTTATAGGATCAGAGATCAGTCTTTCTTAATGAAAATCTTTACTATGTGCCTACCATTAAAAGGGAAAAAACTAAATCTATTCTAATTCTCAGGTTCTTCACAAATGGCTATTATATTTTGGTAGTAGATCAGTATAGATTCTAATACTTAAGCAGGAAAATGTGAATTCAGTAATTTATTCTCAGTGAAAGTCATTGGGGCATTGCTGTTTTTTTGATGCCATAAATATTAATCTCTTGCAGTTGTTCTCAATATATTTTGTTGAGTTGAATTTAATTACTATGTATTTGTACCTACAAACTTGTTAAATTCCAGAGCACACTCTATAAATGGTACTAATAATTTACTTTTCCATTGGAATCATACTCAACATTGCAACAGGATTTTGATAAGAAAAGAAAAGCAAAAACCATTAAGAAGATGGATCACACAAAGAAGAGAAAAACCGAGAATGCTTATAACACAGCTTTAAATGGAGGAACTAATGTCACCAGTTCCCAACTCATTAGCTGTATTTTACCAACTTCAGATGTATCACACCATAACGTCGTTACAACCTGCAGCAAAACCAGAGAAGACAGGAGAACTGAGGTGGAACACTGTACCCGTGAGAACCAGGAGAAAGCTGCATTGAGTTCAAATGCAGATTTTGGACAAAGTCATTCCTTTACTAAAAATTATACTGAAGATATTTTTCCCATGACACCACCAGAGTTAGAGGAAACCATTCGGGATGAAAAAATACGAAGACTTAAGCAGATGCTGAGAGAGAAAGAAGCAGCCCTTGAAGAAATGCGCAAGAAGATGCACCAAAAATAATAAAATGTTGCTATACGTAAAGACTTCAGTGAATTAGCTTCGTTTTTACCATATGTTTTTGCATTAAGTTAACTAACTATAGATGCATTCTGAAAGTGTCTTTGAATATGAAGTTTGTTTTTTCATCAGTTGATTATAAAATTTTGTTTAAGGAATGCAGAAAAGGTTGATTCACATATAACTTCAATAATCTGCATGGGATATCTAAAGCTTTTTTTGGAAGGAAAAATTGTCTTAATTTTTTGTTTGTTTTATTTTTAACTAGAATTCCCCAAGTTTGAATATTCGTGCAGGATTTTTGTTATTGTTTGTATCTTTAGCTAAATTGCTCAGGTATACTCTTAAAATTATACAACCCAGGAGAAGAAATCAGCTCCAAACTTAGCTTTGCCACTGGGATTGTATATGTACTCACTTAGTCCCTTTATCCATGAAGTGTTGATACCTTCTGCTCATCATTGTAATTCTTTTTTAATTTCATGGAAAAGATGTATTATAGCAGCATTATTTAAAAATTTAAACATTTCTTAAGACTGAGGGACACTTGTTTTGTAACTTTTACAAAATAGCTTTATATAACCCAAAATGAATTTTAGAATTCAGGCTATATAATGTATTGTTTACTTAACGTGATATGTTATTTCTAGGCAAATGCTTCTTTTTTGAAATATGTAAGTTGGACTGTGTAAAAAGTAAATATGAACAATGACCACATTTAATACTTTTTAAAGATGTCAAATGTGTGGTGTTTTTTTTTAAAGAGGCAAACAGTTTTCTATCTGATTATCTTTGATTTGGAGAGTTTGGAAGTGGAGGGAGGGGAGATAGGGATAACGGGGAAGGAAGAAAAGATTATTTTTAAAAATGATTAACAGATCCCCGAAAGTAAGGTAAAATAAACCTGTACATTGACAGAAAAGACTGAGAAGTAGAACAAATACAAAGTCATTATCAACTAGATTCTCTTGTCTTTTGTTTTTTGTAACAGCTTTATTGACATAATTTATGTATCAAAAAATTCACTCTTTTAAAGTGTATGGTTCAGTGACTTTTATTCACAGTTTCTGCAACATCAACATCTAATTTTACAACATTTTCGTCACTGCCACCCCCACCCTAAACCTCATAGTAATTAGCAATCACTCCCCTGAACCTCCTCCCTCCAGCCTTAGGAGCTGTTAATACACTTTTTAGTCTTTATAGATGTGTCTGTTGTGGACATTCATGTGCATGGAATGAGTTATTCAAAATATTTTACTCAGTGACTGGTTTATTTCTCTTACGTGCATCCATCTTCCATTTCATTTCTTTTAGTTTTTACCCATTTGTTTTAGCCTTTCTCCTTTTGAGTTTTCTGCTTCTTGCTTATTAAGGTTTTGCTGCTCATGAAATCCTCAAGCACGCATATTTCTTTTCATTGTATTTTATGATACAAAATGTGGTTTGAATTCTTTACAACAAAATTCCCATAATATGTCTATGCCGATGTTCTCAAACTCCTACTCCTCATTCTGAAATTCACTTGAATTGGGATTTTATCTTTACCACTCCACTAAAGCTGGGTGGTTTTTTCCCCAAAGTCTCCAACAATTGCTGTCTTATGGTCAGTGGACACTTTATCAGACTGTCATTGAAAGTTGTCCTTTGCTCTGTTTCCATGACACTGTCGTCTTGTTTTCTTACTACTGTACCTTATTGGTTGCTCCTTCTCAATCTCTTTGGCTGATTCCTTCCCTTCTCTATGATTTCGGTAATGTTGGAGTTTATTTTACATCTCTACTCACTTGAGATGATCTCGTCTGGTTCTCATGGATCAAAATGCCATCTATATCTGGGAACTCCAACATTGTATCTTCAAAAGCCTTCTTGACATCTCCACTTAAAAGTCCGCTGGCTGGCTCAGCAGTAGAGCACCTGCCTATGACACCGGAGATCACGGTTCGATTCTTGGTCAGGGCAGATGCCCGGGTTGCGGGCTCGATCCCCAGTGTGGGGCATGCAGGAGGCAGCCGATCAATGACTCTCTCATCATTGATGTTTCTCTCTCTCTCCCTCTTCCTCCCTCTGAAATCAATAAAGATACATATTTTAAAAAATTTTTAAAAAGTCGAATGGGCATCTCAAAATGAACATAGGCCAACCCCAGCTTCTGTTATCATCCTTACCCCAAATTTGCCTCAATCAAGCTCTGTACTTCAGTTAATGACAAATCCAAATCCAGGCTTTCACTTACTCAAGTAGAAACACTTGGGAGTCCACCTTGATTTCTTTTTTCTTTATATCCTACAATGAGACTGTTAGGAAATGTTCTTGGTTTACATTCATATTATATCTGGAATCTGATCATGGCTCACCACCTCTACTGTGACTACCTTGCTTTATATCATCTGGGTTATTGAAATAACGAACTGTCTCCCTGCCACCAGTGTTCTACAACCTGTACTCGGCATAATAGCCAAGTGATTTTGTTAAAAGTATAAGGAGGGGGGAAAGGACCCAAAACCCAATAGAACAATGGGAAAAATACATGAACAGACAATTCACCATAAAAGATACAAAAATGATCTTCAAACATGAAAGTGTTCAAAAATGGATTCAAAATCGGATAAATGCAAGTTAAAAGCACTCGGATACCATTTCTCTTTGGTCAGGCTGGGAAAGATTTAAGAATATGACAACACGTTCTGTTACAAGGCTGCGAGGACATTGTGGACGGGAATACAGTTTGTTACAATTCTAGTCGAGAGAAATTTGGCAGTGTCTAACGAAGTGACATGTATTTACCTTTCAACCAATAGGACCAGCAATTCTGTTTTTAAGAATCTATCCTGAACATATGCCTCCACCAATATGAAAAATATTAAGCAGTTTATTAATTACAATACTGTTTTTAATGGCACAGTACTGGAAACAACCTCAATGCCCACTGATAGGAGAGTGGTTGAAAAATAACTGATTAGTATTCTTCCAAAGTCTCAGGGTCATAAAAGACAAGGGAAAGAGAGAAGAACTTGCAGACTGCAAGAGACTAAGAAAGGGAGAGAAAAACCCAAAAACGTACATTGTGGGACCTAGAATGGGATTCTGGAACAGAAAAAAAAGAAATGAAAAAAATGTGAAATTTGAATGTATTTTAGTTAATATTGCACCAATGTTAATTTTCTGTTCTTGATGTAAAGTGTTGGCATTAGGCATATAATGGGATAAGACATGTAAGCAAACTACTACTTTTGCAACTTTTCTGTAAGTCTAAAATTAGATCAAAACAAAAAGTTTAAAAACAAAAGCTTTAAAAGTGTAAATGAGAACATTCCCTCTCCTGTTTTAAACCCTCTAGTGGTTTTCTATCCTACTCAAAGTCAATGTCAAATAATACACAATGACCTAAAAGCCCTGCACTAATTGTCCCCCTGTCTCCTCTCTCCCCATCCCCTCTGAATTTCAGCTGGACGAGTTGCTTCCTGCTCCTTCAATGTCGCAGGCACATTCCTCCCTCAGGCCTTCGCCTTGTTTTCTCACTACCACCTGTTCCTCCTGTAACCAACTGCATGGCCGTGCTTTTTCTTTCTGTCTTTACTAAACTGTCACCTTATCAGTGAAGCATTCTCCACCACCCTGCTTAATTTTGCACCCAAAAGCCTCCTGGAATTCCATATTCTAATATTTTTTTCCCCATAGCCCTCATTATCATCAACATTCTGCATATTTTACTTAATTCTGTTATTATATGTTGACATACAATTGAGTTTAAGCTGCACCCAAGTAAGGGAGGGGAGAGCTTTTTGACTGTTCTGTTCAGTAAACAAAAATACAGAATGAATGGTCACATGAAGGCACTTCACCTACAATGGCCCAGTCTAGTTTCCAGGGCAGGAAAAAAAAAGTCATGAGGAGATCTGTTAGGAAAGCAGAACCTCTCTTCATGTGTTACTGGATTACTGGCCAAACTGTTTGCAATAAAGGCTGAGAAAATTGTTCAGACGAAATTTAATTACTGTTGGTGAAGAAGAAAGGGAGTCGTTCCGGGTAGGTTACTGATAACATCTGTCACAAAAACTATACCCACAAGTTTTGACAAAAGGTTTGGACTATGAGGACAAAGAATGTGAACTATTCAGACAAAAAGTAATGTTACTAACGGAGTCAAAGGCTTTCAAGAATTTCTACTTTTGTTTCAGTAACACTAAGGGAAAAAACCACAACTTTTACAGAGTTCTGAGAGAGAAAATATAAATCAAGACTTTTCTACATATCTATGTTTTGAATAACATACGATATTAAGAAAAAGATATTCACAAACATTCAAGAGCCCTGAAAATGTGCATCTTACCTTTTTTTTTTTTTTGAATAAAATTACTTAAACATATACTATTACAACTGGTCATTGTGTTCTTTAAGAAAAATATTCCTGTTTCTGGGAGCCTTTGTACTGTCAGCTTGGCTAGGCTGAACTACATTTCCCAGAATTTCCCTTTGCATATATTTCTGGTTAGAGACGCTTGTGGAGGACTTGCAGGGCAAAGGCGAAGAGCATTTTGTAGCTCACACACATTGTCTCTCATCTACTGGCTCATCCCGTAGGCATGAGGCATGGCCAGGTCTGAAAGGACATCTCCTAGATCTTTCTTTAGCCTCTCCTGCTCGGTCAGGTGACTATGTTTATCTCTGTTACAAAGAATCCTGCTTCCTGGAGGACATGCTTACCATCTAGGTTAGAGACACCAAGAGCTGACACAGATACCAATCTGCCGCATGGCCTTCAGCTTGTCCTTGTGTGCTCCAGCCTGTTCTCGCTCTCCTTCATGCCACATTAATCTTCCTGACTTCCTGCCCTGTGGACTTGCAAGTTCCAGGATCAGATGGGAAGAAAATAGCTCCTCACAAGGAGGCAAGATGGCCAGATTCCTGGAACAATATTTTTTACAAGCACATGAATAACCACCCATATACACATAGTTACACATTCTAGTGGTTTGGCTTCTCTGATTGAATTTAGACTGATACACTACCCTCAACTTATAAAAAAATTCTCCAGTAATTTCTTCTGAGAGTTTTAAAATTTTGCCTTTCAAAGATTGGGTAAATAAGCTATTATTTTACAAGGTAATAGATATTTGCATGTATTTTAAATAATTATATTACTAAAAATAATTATAATTTTTGTGAATGGTGTGAACAGGAGTCCAGTTTCATTTCTTTCCACACTGTTAACCAATTGCCCTAGCATTCTTTTTTTAAACTTTCATTTTCCCCATCACCATTTATCCCCCCATGCCCTCTTCTCCCTCACCCCTCACCTCGCCATCACCACACTGTTGCCCACGTCCATAAGTTCTCTCTTTGTGCTTTTCTGGATCTATTGAGGTTATTATGTTTTTTCTCCTTTACTTTGTCAATATGGTAAATTACATTGATTTCCTAGTGTAGTCTTAATTCTGTAATATTTTCTTTAAGATTTTTTACATGTGCCTGGCTAGCATGGCTCAGTGGTTGAGCATTGACTAGGAGATTGCGGTTTGATTCCCGGTCAGGGCACATGCCCAGGTTGTAGGCTCACTCCCCAGTAGGGGGCATGTAGGAGGCAGCTGATTATTGACTCTCTCATCATTGATGTTTCTCTCCCTCTTCCTTCCTCTCTGACATCAATAAAGACATATTTTTTAAAAAAAGATTTTTTGCATGTAATCTCATGACAGAATGATTATAATTTTCTTTCTCATGAGAATTTTTGT